TTCTGCGGGGTGGGGGCGGGCTGTCTGCGCGGATCGGACTTAAAAAGTTATGGGGGTAACGTTTTAAAAAGCTCAGTTTTCTTGGCGTTTAACAGATAATTGGAAAATGGAGGAAAAGAAAATCAAAAGGAATTAATTTTATCCTCCTACACCTATATGTCCATTCTTAGACATTTTTAGCGTGTATAAGGGATATGCATTTTTAAACATTTAACATAGTTTTAAAGTGAGTTTCTGCAGTTATATAACCTACCTTTTTTTCACTTAGTTTACTGTGACTCAGCTTAAAAAGTTATTATGTAACATTTAAAAAACTTCAGATATATGCACATAAAAGTACACAGATGAGCACGATGTAGTATATACAGTTGTTGAATTATAATGTTGCACACTCGAAATTTATATAATGTAATAAACCAGTGTTACTTCAATAAAAATTGAAAAGTACACAGATAAGTGTACAGTTCCATTATTTTAATAGCTGTATAGCATTTCATCTGTTGTATTTCCATATTAATCCCGTATTATATGTCATTTAGGATCATTCAAATTCAGCATTGTTAAAGTCAATGCTGAGATGAAGGTACTTACAGAGAAATTGTGATACATTATTTTATGAAGGAAAAGACCTAGAAATACAATTTCTGGGTCAGTATATATCTAGGAAAAAAACCTTTTGTGTTTAATTTTCATATGAAGAAAAAGAGTAAAGAATACACAGGTGGCTGTTAAAAACACGTGATTGCACAAAGCAGCCTCATGCCTCACTGGTGTGAGGGGATTTCTAGGCAGATAATTATGGACACTGGAAGCCTGATGGTCTCTCATATGCTCTACACTTCTCCACTCTTCCAGGTCAGCCTTCACATATCTCTGCCTTTTCCTAAGAAGAGCAGGAAATGGCCAAACCCCAGGTAAGACTACTGTCTGTACCTTCCTCTGTTTTACCACGGATGTGATGAGTTATGTAGGAATCTCTGACATTAAAAGGAAATTACTTGTAAATAAGCGTTAGGATCAGGGAAAATGAGAGACAACAGCAAGGCCATGTTTGAATGAAGACATGTGGAAGACTTAGGGTGTAACAGATAGTAATGATGAGTTTCAAATTTCTCTTCGAACCTCTGCCAGCCAGAAGAAAATATAACCAGTAACCTGGCTCACCTTACACATCAGAAAAGAACACACCAAATTCTCAGGAAAGAAAAGATTTCCTACAATTGCCTTTCAAGGCTTTCTTTGCTGGGTCT